GTTGTCGTCTGGCGAAAATCGGTTAGCGAGCCGATGCATGTAAAGAGTGCCAGCTTCGCGAAATACCGTGCAGCTTATGTCGGCGGCGCAACTAGTTTACAACCGCCAGCTTTAAAGCAACCGCTCAGCCGCGGTACGTATCTGAAAATAAGTAGACCGGATGCGTATATATGCGGTGCAATTATATTGTAGCGAGCCAACGTCCGTGAACAAAACAGCTTCACAAAATGCCGTACAGGCTACACGGACAACATTGGACAAGCACTGCACACTTCAGTGCGCGTCAAATTGCGTGGTTCGGTGTACATTAAATTGCGCGTTGAATTGCATGTTTAATTGCACGTCGAGTTGTGTGGTGGGTTGCGCGTTAAAATGCGCGAGTCGGCGCATGTCAAATTGCGCAGTGCGGTGCAGCCAATGTTTTGCGATTTGCGCGTTAAATCGCGATGCGGTGCGGTGTGGTGCAGTGCGGTGCGGTGCGCGGTCCCGAAAAAAAAAAAACAGCAACTCATGCACCGGGATCGAGCCGGCGACTGCGGATCCCAATTAGTGTCGGAGCTAGCGCACACCACAAGCGGTGAGCGTCGATGCTCCGGGGCGCATTGCGCGAGTGCAGCTGTGGTGCGGTGCAATGCACTGGCACACGCAGTGTGGCGCGGTGCGGTGCAACGCGGTGCAGTGCGGTGCGGTGCGGACACCGAAGCGGTGCACGGCGTTGCTCAGGGGTGCATTGCGCGGGCCCAGGCGTGGAGCGGTGCAGTCCGGGACGACGCGGTGCGGTGCACGGTCCAGTCCAGAACGAAAAGAAAAGAACAATAAACGACGATGACACGAAAAACGAACCACGCGACGATGAAGGCAGCGCTCCCGAACGAAAAATAGAAGAAAGCGGGCGCCGGGCGACGAAGCCAGCGAGCCGCAACGTAAAAAAGGACATAACGACGCGCCGGCGCCGGGGTCGAACCAGCGACTGCGGCTCCCACTCGACGTCGGAGCTAGCGCGCCCGACGAAGCTAGCACGGCCATGCTCCAGGGCGGCTTGCGCGAGCTCAGGTGTGGCGCAGTGCGGTGCAGTCCGGAGCGCGCGAACGAAGGAAGACGAAAAAAGCGGCGACGGCGGGGCGCGAACCGGCGACCGCGGCTCCCACGCGGCGACGGAGCTAGCCTAAAAGGCGCGGCTCCGAAACCGCGGACGACACCCCAAAAAACGCGAAAACAGCAAGCGGCCACCCGGACGGACGGACGGACGGACGGTCAGACGGACTAGACGCGGGCTGCGTCGCCCGCGAGGGGGCCGTAGTCCCCCGGTAAATTCCGCGTTGCATGGTGCTGTCGTAAGCGTGTACAGCATAGCAAAGCATAGCGCGTACGGCATAGCACAGCATAGCATAGTTCGTACGGCATAGCATAGCACGTACGGCAGAATACGGCAAAGCACAGCATAGCAAAGTTCGTACGGCATAGCGTAGCACGTACGGCATAGCGTAGCACGTACGGCGTGTACAGCGCGGTATTGCTACACATGGTCATGTTGTAAGTTGTAATGCGGAGAGATGCACGCGCAAAGTAGAAGACGTGTACGGCATAGCGCGTACGGCGTACGGTGTATGGCGCGTATGGCATAGCGCGTACGGCGTACGGTGTATGGCGCGCACGGCATAGCGTGTACGGTGTGCGGCGTACGGTATGTACGGCGTATGGCGCGTACGGCACAGTGTGTACGGCGCCTGCCGCGCGTATGGCTTAGCGTGTACGGTGCACAGCAGAGCGTGTACGGCACACCATAGCATAGCGTGTACGGCATAGCATAGCGCCTACAGCATAGCATAGCATAACAAAGCGTAGTGCAGCATAGCATAGTGTAGCGTAGGATAGCACTGCACCGCCACCACCGCCACCACCGCCGCCACCGCCACCACCGCCGCCACCACCGATCAAGCGTAGCATAGCGTAGCATGTACGGCGTGTACAGTGCGGTCATGTTGTAAGTTTTAATGCGGAGAGATCCACGCGCAAAGTAGAAGACGTGTACGGCATAGCGCGTACGGTGTACAGTGTATGGCGCGTATGGCATAGCGCGTACAGCGTACGGTGTATGGCGCGCACGGCATAGCGCGTACGGTGTATGGCGTACGGCATGTACGGCGTATGGCGCGTACGGCACAGCGCGTACGGCGCCTGCGGCGCGTATGGCTTAGCGTGTACGGTATATCATAGCGTGTACGGCATAGCATAGCGCGTACGACATAGCAGAGCGTACCACCGCCACCACCTCCGCCACTGCCACCACACGCCGCCACCACCAGCACCGCCGCCACCACCGCCGCCACCGCCACCGCCGCCACCACCGCCTCCACTGCCACCACCACCACCACCGCCACCACCGCCACCACCACCGCCA